TATATATATATATATATATATATATATATATAGTTATGTTGTTTCACTTTGAACATGAAATATTTTTGCAGGCTAATTCTTTGCCTACATCTTTTCAAATGGCAATTATTGGTGAATCCTCATCAAATAATACCAATAATCAAATGGTTGATTATATGGTAAATTCACAATCTATACAACAACAACATAACCAGTGTTCATTAGGGTTTTTACCCTCGAATCCTTCTCTAGACAAGTTGAGCTTCGCGGATGTGATGCAATTCGCGGATTTTGGGCCTAAATTAGCCTTAAATCAAACCAAGGTATTGGAACAAGATGTTGGGATTGATGATCCTGTGTACTTCCTTAAGTTTCCCGTTTTAAACGAAAAAAAGAATGTACATGATAATGATAATGATGATGATGATGATCGAGAAGCCTTAATGGTATCACAAAAAGAAAGTGGTGGAAAAGAAAAAGGAGAAAATAATAATAATATTGTTGAAAAAAATCAAGAAGGGAAGAGTAATAATAAGAGAAAGCGGCCAAGAATTAAGACAAGTGAGGAAGTTGAGAGCCAAAGAATGACACATATTGCTGTGGAGAGGAATAGAAGGAAGCAAATGAATGAACATCTTCGTGTATTGAGGTCTCTCATGCCTGGCTCCTATGTTCAAAGGGTATTATATCTCATCACATTCTTGAATTTTACAAGTTTTTTTTTTAGTGTCGAGTACTGTTGAACTATGTGACCGTCTCATCTTAAAGCTTAAATCGTCTTTTACTAATTAGTGATATATGTCTTTGTGGTAGTGACCCTTTATGTGATAGATCTGATTCTTTTTCAAGAGGCAAGCACGTGAAAATTCTTTTTACTATAGTGTGGTAGTTAGGATCGAACTCGTGATGTAGGTTAAATCATTAGAGAAAACACACTTTTGATAATTTATTTAGTGATATACGTCTTTGTGGTAACGACCCTTTACTTAACAGATCTGATTCTTTTTCACGAGTCAAGCACGTACATATTCTTCTTACTATTGTGTGGTAGTTATTAGGATCGAAATCAGAATATGCGTTTCATATACTCTTATTATATCATAATAAAGTGTGTGATCATCTCATCTGAATGATCAAATTTGTCAGACAAATCACACTTTTGATATAGTTAAGTTATGTAATGACTTATTGAAGTGTGTGAAGTCTAATGATCATCTCATATAAAAATTTAAGCTGTCAGTGATAGCTAACACACTTCTATTTACTTGATTATATTATGTATCTACTCTCAACATGATGTATATTTGACAATCTTGTAGGGAGATCAAGCATCTATAATTGGTGGAGCAATTGAATTTGTTAGAGAATTGGAACAACTCTTACAATGCCTTGAATCACAAAAAAGGAGGAGAATCTATGGAGATGCTACTCCAACAAGACCATTAGGAGATTCATCAACAACACCACCACCATCAATGCCAATTAATCAAAACCCTAATACTATAAATCCTCATCATCAATCACCAATACTATTTCCTCTTCCAAATGAGTATAATATTGAAGGTGAAATTCAAGAAGAAGTAGCTGAGAGTAAGTCTTGTTTGGCTGATGTTGAAGTGAAACTTTTAGGGTTTGATGCAATGATCAAGATTCTATCAAGAAGAAGACCAGGACAACTCATAAAGGCAATTGCTGCATTGGAAGATATGCAACTTAGTATTCTTCATACAAATATTACAACCATTGAACAAACTGTTCTCTACTCCTTCAATGTCAAGGTACTTATTATTAACACTCCATCTATTTCAATTTACGTGTCTTACTTTTTTTCAGTTTGTTCAAAAAAGTATGTCACTTTTTCTATATTTAATACTCTGTCTACGTCCCAATTTATGTGAAGTTGTTTGATTGGGCACGTAGTTTAAGAATGAAATGAAGAACATTTGAAACTTGTGGTCTGAAACAAGTCATAGACGATATTTATGTAGTTGTAAATCATATTCCGGGTAGTTTAAAGTCAAAGAATTACTAAATATAGAAAGTGTCGTTCTTTTTAGGACTGACTGAAACAGAGTCACATAAATTGGGACAGCGGGAGTAATTAACTCTTTAAATCTACTGTCCCCCCGACATGTTTAAAATGACAAAATTCAAAAGGCATTTTAATACATCATACATATCTTTAGTTTACGATCACAAGATTCAAAAGTCTTCCTTATTTTTTTAAGAAATTAAATTCGAGTCCAGTCAAACTAAGACACGTAAAATGAACAGAAGGAGTAACACCTTCTCACATGCTTACACAAATTTTTTTTCCTTATTGTTGCCTTATTTCTATTTTTATTTTGCAGATTTCTGGTGAAACTAGGTACACAGCTGATGATATAGCAAACTCAATCCAACATATATTCAGTTTCATTCATGCTGAAATAGCCCCATATGATATCAACTAGTTGAAGACCATTTAATTTTTCATTGTACTTTCTAGCTAGGTGGTGTGTTTTATATAGTTTGACTCTTCTTCTATATAGTGGTTAATTACAGATGCACGGATTCAAGATTTTAGCTTTAATTTATGTGTTTATATATATATTCAAAGTTATGATTTGTATTACTATTTAATACAATATATAATATTGATTGATTTTTACGTATAAATTTATGATTTGCATCCAAAATATTAAATTCATGAACTCGATACCTCAAAACTCCATCCACGCCTATAAGGGCAATTTTCACTCCATCAACTATTTTTTCTTTTGAGACCAAGTTTGATTATTTTCAAGAATCAAAGTTATTTATTTACTCAATATTAGACTCATGTGTTATAAATAGTGTCCACACTTTAGATGTTCAATTCTGAGAATGTAAGGGATATATATTGCAGGATGAGTTGACATCTCAAGTGTGGACACTATAACACAAGAGTGGCCAGCTATAGTGACATTGTCTCTTCTCACTTTCACGTTGAAAATCTCATATTGATCAGGCGTAAAATAATCTTTAACAAAGCCGATTTTGTATTTTCACAAAATTCAAACACGAAATATTTGATGACATTATCTCTCCTATGGTACTATGTATACGTATTTAATACTAATTGAATTTAGGGTTGTTCATGGTTATGGTTAAAAAATCAAACCGAACCAAAATCCGAACCAAATCGATTAAAAAAAACCGATATTTGGTTGGGTTTGGTTTTAAATTTTGAAAAATAGATATTATTTGATTTGGTTTTGGTTTTGGTTTTACTAAAAAAAAACCCGATAAATTAGACATATAAATTTTATAATTACTTATATATTATTCACAAATAAAAGATAAATATTTTATTAAATTTTAATTAACTTAAGTCTTTAACTATACAATTTTTTCAAGCCCAATTATAACAATCCTAAGTCCAAGTCCATTAAAATCAATTTTAGTCTTTACCTACCCTTTGTGTAATGATAACTCTAGTATTGCTTAATTGAACCGACAATAACTTTCATTTATGGATTGTTCATGTGTTAGATGTCAAACCGAATAAACCAGAAAAACTAAACCGACAATAACCAAATCGACGGTTATTTTTTTCGTTTGGTTTGATTTGGTTTTAGAAATTTAAAAAACCGACTAGATTGATTTGGTTTTAATTTTAATCAATAACCGATCCAAATCAAACTACGAACGCCCCTAATTGAATTGATGGATTACTGTATTTTTTTGGCAATTATATTATATGACTTAGGGAAGGTCAACGAGCCCCACTAACCCTACCTTATTTTCAGAGAGGGGGTTTGACTTGTCAGGACCAAATCTTGTGTGTATTTGGCTGACATTAGATAGTGATACTTTAACCATGCTTCTTTGTAGGTCCGTTGTCTTAACAAATTGTATATGAGGTCGTGATCTAATAGTCAATGAAAATGATTGAAAATAATGAGATTTTACGTTTAAATTTCAATAAAAACAAGAAAAACATATGATTTCTTATTTGCTCGAGCTATTTCAAATGGATATATAGGGTTAAGTAATATTGGTGGGTGGTAGCGACAATCGATATTTTGAAAAATTAGTTGAGGTGAATGACATTATGGTTAAAGGGCAATCTGGTGTACAACTAATTAAAACATCTTGTGTTCAACAAGGTTTGGGGAAGGGGTCGCATCTCTATTACATGTGTGCGATGTAAACGGTTTATTATAATGCTTGCATTAACGTTTTTTTGTTCAACTCAAACTCGTGATCTATAAATCACACAAGAATAACTTTATCATTCCTCACTTATTCAACTTGTGTTTCCTTTATGAATTTTATTTATGAAAATCATTTTTCTTTTTGGTCATTTCTGCATTTCTTTCATGCATGAAATGAAATGATCAATAGCACATGGGTTTGGCCAAGTGGGGTTTTTATTTTTGTACATTTTGTTTATTTTGGTAAATATATTTTAGAATTTAGATGCATGAATAAAAACTAGCTAGAAAATGTTTAAGCTAAAAAACAAAATAAATAAATAAACTTGACTAGAGTCTAGATGGTCCTTCATTATAAATTGTCGTATTGGTTATTGAAACAAACATGAATAATTTCAAAATAAAAAAATAAAAAATAGAGACCTGAAAATTGAGATGTCTACAAAGGTCAACTAGACAAGAACTGGTCTTGCCACTAACAACACATGCATTTTATTTTTATTTTAATATAAAATATAATTAAATAATTGAGGTGTCTATTTACGTAATATAATTTTCCGATGAAGGAAAAATCAATTGACCCCTATTCACCATACATAGCTCCGCGTAGATTTTAGGTCTACCTCATTCATTTTTATTTAACACATTTTACATGATAGTGTCACCTATACTTTTATACACCACTGTTGTCTGTTATAACTTACTTTTTTGTTTGATCTTTATATATGTAGTTTCTTAATTATTACATTAAGTACTCATGTAATTAACATTCTTCCTCTACACTATTACAGTCATATTCTTAATTAGTTTAAACTTTAAAACTATAGTCTAGATAAACGATAAACTGTAATCAAACTTAAGCTAAAATTTTGACTCAAACTAATGTGAAAAATGAGTAAGTTCATTAATTTGTTATGGTTCATGGTAATTTGAAAACCAACTAATGTTTCGTAACGGACTTGTATTATAATAAAATAAACAACAATAATATATTTAGTGTAGCTTTACAAATTGTGGTTTGAAAAGAGTAGAGTATACACATAATTTTCGATAGACCCTCAACTTAAGAAAAAATAGTTCAAAGCACTCTAAAAATTATAACGAAAGAAAGTAGAAAAAATAACGTATATAGTGTATATATTATGTTGATTCTTTATATATTGTTAAACATGTTAAGGCTATCTGAGATTGGATTGTGGATACAAGAGGTAGGCCCAATTAGGACTTAACTGGATATGGGCTTGGAAAGACTAGATTGAGTGGTCTCAAATCTTTTGAAACTTAGCCCACGTCTATTTTTGTAAAGATTTAAGATGTATGAATTTGAATACGCAACTGAATAATAAAATGTATATTAAGATATGAAAACTAAACAATTAAAAAAAAATCAATATCTGAATAGATAAACATATCTTTATAGTTCAAAATTAATAAATACCAAATTTAAATAAGATACTACTACTAATAATAATAATCTAATACTATATCAACAAGATCAATGTTGGAATGCCATTTTAGATAAAATTGGATAGAGTTAATAAAGGAAAGACCGAAAAGTTAAAGTCATATATAGACCAAAAGTATAATATCAACGCATATATAAATCAATAGTATAACATCGAGGGAATTTAAAGAATGACAGTCATAATATAAGGTCTACCAAAAGTAACTTCTCTATCTTTACGAGGTGGGGTTAAGGACGTCTACGTACACTTAATACTCTTCATACCCCATCTATGACATCACACTGGAGTGTTGGGGGTAAATATGACCAAAGCAAAAATGAACCTTTTCTTATTGAAGTGGCTAAGTTTTAAATACTTGTTAAAGGTTGTAGTTATCTCTACTAGGCCCAAACAAAAACAAAAAGCCCAAAAACACTTTACTATCAACAAATTAGCCCATTAAGATCCCCTTCTCAATATAACGAAACCCTAATCTCACTTCCTCAAAAACCCTAGCCTCTACCTCCATTTTTCTTCCTTCTTCACAGGTAAGCAAGAGAGAAAAGCAAAAATGGTGTCCGGTTCAGGAATCTCCGCAAGGAGGATAGTGGTTGATGCTCGTCACCATATGCTTGGTAGGCTCTCATCAATTTTGGCTAAGGAATTGCTTAATGGACAGAGAGTTGTTGTTGTTAGGTGTGAAGAGATTTGTCTTTCTGGTGGACTTGTTCGTCAGAAAATGAAGTATCTTAGGTTCCTTCGCAAGAGGATGAATACTAAGCCTTCTCATGGACCTATTCACTTCCGTGCTCCGTCGAAGATCCTCTGGAGGACCATCCGTGGGTTAGTTTGTTTACATTTTTGAGGTTCAATTGATGATTTTGCTTGGAAAATGCTTGGTTTTGATGAAAGTAGATTTATTTTGTGATTTGTAGATTCAGTGATACCTGTTTATAGATATTTCTAGATTCGATGATATATATTTACTTCAGGAAACAACAATTTAATAAATAGGGGAATGTGAGCTGAGAGTCTATCGGAAACCGTCATTCTACCTCCCATGGTAGGGGTAGGAGTAAGGTCTGTGTATCACTATACTTATCCAGACTCTGCTTGTGGGATTACAGTGTGCATATTGTTGTTTGTAATTAGTCTGGTAACAGTTTCTGTGAGTAGGTATTCTAGACAGAATGTGTTCATATATGCCTTTGTATCCGGGGAGGGATGAAGTGATAAAACTTGGAGACATGATAAATGGTAGTGTAAAGCCAAAGGTTAAATATACTTGTAGTTGGAGATTCATTGGAAAAACGAGTTTCAGTGATGATTTTGTTTGAAAAAGTGCTTGTTTAACCGAAGGTAGATTGAGTAATAACTGTTTATGGATATTTGTTATTCTATAGTACTGAGATATATACATATGTGTATATACACTTCATGAAATAAACATGGGATTTAGTTAGTCTGATAACAATGTTCTATAAACAGTATAGGGATATCCCTAATGCCAAACCCCTGATTGCAATTCGAACAATACTCTATAGCTTGGAAACACTATAAACTATATTGAAAAGTAAACAGCTCTATATAGTGGTAGTTTGGTGTTCATTGGAGAGTGGAGTAATGTTATTTTTTGGGTAGGCTATACTTTTTGCAGATTCTTCTTACTTGATGTAGAGTATGTTGTGGTATAGTGTCCACTTAAATGCCATTTTACTGAGTTTGTTGGAACCTAGTCATCTGCAAGGAAGAATTTTTAAGACTGTGATGTAGGCTTTTCATTTAAGCATGCATGTCAATGAAGGATGCACTGATGGTTTAAGTTCTTATACTATCCTATTCATGGTTGATTGATTTATTGGATAGTTATGTCAAATTTTGCTCTTTGGTGTGTCTGATCAGTTCTAATTTTTTTTCTTAGGATG